GCGGCCCCGGGCCGGGGACCGGCACCGGGATTGCACCCCGCGGTGTTGCTCCCGCGCCTCGCTCAGCCGGTGAGCGGCAACCGGTCTGTACGTGGGATCCGAACCCTCGGGCGGGAGCGCCGCTGTGCTTCCCAAGCAGCACACTTATCCAGTGCGCCACCGGGCTGGCCCTAAAATGGTAAATTTTGTTATACATATATTACCACAATAAAAAAGCAAAATAAAAACACATATTTTAAAAGTGCAAACGTGTCTTCAATATTATTATCATGAGATACTGTTAGGCATTAATACGAAAGTATATATTATGTATTATATATATTATATTAGGCATTAGTATGAAAGTATATTCATATCAAACAGGTACAGTGTTTCTTAGTACAAAATCTCATAAGCTACTGTGTGCTTCATCGCTATAGTATGCATTTTTAGGATTCATATTTGTACACAATGCTTCTTAGGGAAGCTCAATTGTTCAAAATTTAAGGTAACAATAACTCCAACATCATTTCAGTGCAGTATATTCAGGATTGGTATTCACGTTTTGGTTGTGTATGTACTATATTTTGTTCATTTATATGCTTTATGATTCATTAGCTGAAATTATCTTATGCACAGAACTGCCATCTTTTTTGTTGTTGTTGTTCAACATTTAAGCATTATATTGCTTTTGGCCAAAGATCACTCCAAGAGTCCCAGGTTAAGAGCAGATATACCATGTAGTAGTCTTAAAAATAAATTAATCAGAAAAAAGATCAAATCAATTTCTGAGTATTAAAATAGTTAATTCAGTATTGGCTTTTATTCTTTGACCTTACTTGTGCTTCTTAAATCAACCAACAATTAACACTTCCAAAATAACCTCAGCTTTGATTTTTTTCAAATGAGCCATGCATACAGCTTCAAAACTTGGTAAGTCCCTCAAGTGTCCTATATCTGAGCGAACAGTTGTTAAAATTAGCAAGCAATTTGTAATACAGGACAGAACAAAAAGTAATGTTGTCCACTACTGAGTTATGCAAATATTTACTGAAACCTCACTATGGGCAGGGCACAAGGTAATGGTGGTAAATAAACATAGTTGCTGCCATCCTAGCACTTACAGACTATGAGGGAGATTGCTTATTCTAACTCATGCAAATATTTACTGAAACCTCACTATGGGCAGGGCACAAGGTAATGGTGGTAAACATAGTTGCTGCCATCCTAGCACTTACAGACTATGAGGGAGATTGCTTATTCTAACTCAGTGGCTGCATCAATACAGTTTCACTGACTATGAGGAGTTTAAATATCTTTCATTAATTCTATGATAAACCCGAATATTTTATCTTAGTTTTATTTTGGTGGTAATGATAATGTAGAATAAATTATTGTGCTTACTTTAAAGTATCTTGTGCAGCTTAAAATTACTGCCCCCCAACATAAGGAAAAACAAAACAAAGAAAAACAAAATAATAACGTGGCCAGTCTTCCAGGCCAAATGTAATTCCAAATGTAATTATGTATTTTAGTATTGATGTAAAATAACCTGTGAGTACAGTTAAGATGAAACAATGATCACATTTATAGTTAGTCCACATCTGGTTTACACAAAATCTTTTTGGGCATACACCTACTGCATAATTTGACGCCTAAACTATCTACTTACTTAACCCAGACAATGATCTGAATGATGGACAGTAATCCATCACAAAATTTAAAATCACAAAGATACAAATCATTAAATGAAAATATACTTTAAGTTACTTTTTATCTGTGTAGATACTTATCTCTCTGTATATCAAGCTCTGTTACCCTCACTGGATAGTAAGCAACTTTATTATTCATCTTTGTATCCTTCAAATCTAGTACTCAACAGAGCCTGGCAAATAATTGTGAAGGTGATGATGATGGTGATAATAACAGCAAACACTTTCATAGTGCTTACTATGTGCCAGGCACTGTTCTAGGTGATCTCATAAATTAACTTAGTTAATGACAACCCTATGAGATCTCCAATTTTACCTATGAGAAAATTAAAAAACAGAGTTATTTAAAAATAAAGTTAAGTAACTTGCCTAGCTTGTCAGTAGTAGAGTCAGGATTCAAAAACTTCTGTACTGCTCTGTACTGCAACATGGCAAGCAATTGCTAAATGTTTGTTAATTGAATTAGTG